AGTACTACTCAAATGTGTTGATTCAAATTTAAGTAGGGAGAACTTCCCGTAGTACAGGTAATTCAGGAAGGTCAACCAGTCATTTAATATTATTGTCACTAAACCTAGCATAAACACATGCACAAACTGACAACGCAGTAAGCAACGTCATTTGTATCTAGCTTCACTTCTCATAACTTTATTCTTGTTAGACATGTTAACAAAATACAACTGATCTTATTTGCCATGCTCACTTGTCACACAGACACAACCAAAAACAGAAACTGAAGTCAGTAACATGAGCATCGATTTAGTTTGAGGAAATTTGATTGACGGCCGATTGACACAGTTTGTACAACCAGGATTGCTATCTAGATATAAAACACTAGCTTAGAGAGAGAACCCACAGCTTGTTCGCCACGAACATGATAGCAATGTAGAGCACTCCTTCCACGTTTAAATAGTTTTCTAATCCCCGGGTAGAAGAAATCTGCGCGCGTTATTATAGCTTGTCGAGGTAATTTGCGAGGTCGGGGATGCCCTCCTTCAAGCCCTTCCGTTTCCTCGAGTCGTTGACAACCGTGCGTGGCTTTGAGCCCTCTTCGAATGGATCTCCGGGAAGGATCTGCCAGGGATCGAACACGCACTGTGGGAACCTCTGTCCACCGGTGATTAATCGCAGGTCCGCCGTGAACCCTACACGCCGATGAAAACGATGACAACGCACTGAGACAGGGATGTTGACAAGGTTGATGCACCCTCTAAACGACGGCCGCATGCGATATGCATGGTTAGGATTTCACCGAGTGCACTCCTCACCACGGGTGTCTCAAAAATGCACGGAAATTTACGACAACAGAGCGTCACAGACGCTTCTACGCCAGTACCATAAACTCCGTGTATGTATTCCCACAGGTCTCACAACGTAATTACTCGATAACAAGAGCCGCAGAGCGTCTGGGCTCATCTCAGGTCTGTTGCTACGGTTATAAACGTAACATTTCAGTCGTGCGTAGTGACACCTTTGTTAGGCGCAGATATGCAGATACGCAGTTGCGTACACATCATTTCAGCAACCTTCTGCATTCTCCATACCTCCCAAATCCCATTGGTGGATACAAATCACGTGCCTAAAACTCCTGTTTTATGGTGCATTGTGACCCTAACCCTAACCCTATTAAAAAAAATATTTGCGTTAATTGGAAAAAAATAGTTAAATGAATAAAGATAGAAAAATACAGAAAACGGGTAAATAATAAAAAAAATCAGATGGGATTCGATCCAACGACCTTTGAGCCGTGACGCCTGTGCTGTACGCGTTCGGCTATCCAGGCTTATTGGGTTTCTAGATTATGGATGTGCCATGAATATGACAACACTGTGACGTCATTGAGGCAGTTCAGGAATTAATGTTTAACCCTCCTCTTGAGGGTCAAAAGGTTATCAGACACTTACTCTTCGCAGGTTAGTGGAAAGCACATTTCATGGTCCTTTCAATAAAGTGATAAAAATGGTAGGTTAGCGCTGAAACAAACAAGTTTTTCACTCTGTCCATTAGGCCATGTCCTCAGGAAATGTCTGATATCTGACCTTTCTTCCACTGCCCTTTGACCTGTGACCTCCAATTTCGCACTGGTGATGGGTTTCCTGCCCATCACACTATACACCGAATATCAAGAGCATAGATCGAGCCGTTAAGATTTGTGCCGCAATTCCGTATTTCCTCCTATACCTTAAGTTAAGGGGGAAATATTCCCCCTCCGTGTACACATCTTGAACTTTGACCCTTGACCCCCAAATTTGTCATCCTGAGTCCTTTTCACGATCCCCCACCTCCGACGTCGCAAATATCGTGACCTGTGACCGTCGAGCGATTAAGATTTGTGCCCAACTGTTGACGGACGGGCGCACGGACGGACGGACGATCATGCGATTCTACAAGCTACATCTGACTACGTCAGATGAGCTAAAAAGCAAGTTGCCTTTGTACGTCCCAGCTCTTAAGAGAAAGGTTTTCCCCTTTACACTACTTCCAACTCGTCCCAATGCCCCAACATCCGCATAAACCCACTCATACTTCGCGCTTTCCAACCCCCCGTGTCAGCGACTGTGAAAAGTGCATACCAAACGACTCCATGACGGGCAGATACGCATTCACGACAAACATCGGGGTGCCTGGCACCTGTGCCTCCTCAATGACGTGGCCACGCCGTCTGTTCAACACTCCGTAGATGCCGCCGACAGCCGACACTGCGAACAGGAGAGCCGGAGATTTTAGTAATAACGCCCGCAATCACTGCAGTCTCATCGTTTCTATAGTTTATTTATATACATATAATAATAGTAAATTATTCGGGTACAATGGACCGGGTTCCTGATCCGACAGCACCGGCCGGGACCCGGAAATCTGCTACAATTTACCCAATGTTCGCAGATATATACCGGTGTCGTAAACTTTAAAATAATCAGTCTTCATATATAGGTTCCTCAAGACAAGGCGTTTAAACACAGCTCCATGGATCTATAATGGGTAATCATTAGAAATACGTTTGGTAATCACTGCTTGAATAACCCAGAGACCCTAATCTCGCTCCACCTCTAGTAACTAACCCAGTGGAACTACACCCCATATTGTCTACCCAGGCCAAACTTCACATCTCATCTGAATTTCGACCAGGTAGACGGGCTCCATCATTCTTGGCTTCGCGGTGAGTTGGGAGGCGTAGAGCACGCGTCTCGTCGTCGGGATCACCTGACCGCCGCCGCGTGAAGCGTCACATCGTAGATGTTAAAGCGCACCCCACGAATGTTCTCCTCACACAGTACACCCAGTCACACGCGCACACAGTGAGAAACAAACACTAATCCCAAACCCACGCAGGTTTTCCTCACATAGCACACCCTGTCACGCACGCACATAGTGAGAAACAAACACTAACCCCAAACCCACGCAGGTTCTGCTCACACAGTACACACTGTCGCGCACGCACACACTGAGAAACAAATGCTAGTGTTTTTGGTAGGACATTTCTGTTCTATCTTTGAGAACTAGTTACTACTTAGAATGCGCTACTTCAGTGTCTATAGCAAATTTCACTGGAAAAATACCTCATCTGGCAGTGCGGGAGGTTGTAGAAAATAGTAACGGTGATTTCAGTAACAGTAAATTGTTACTAGTAACAGTATACAGCAACCACATTGAGCTATCTTGGTTCGTGCACAAGTGTGCACTACTATAGCATATGTTAGTTATGAAGTATACCTGCTCATTATATACCACAGCAAGTATGGTTAGTGGCAACGCGTGGCAGCGGCCATCACATTACATTAACAAAACCACAGTTACTTTAAATTGATACCAAACTATATCAGCTGCCATATCGGTTAGTTGTCATAGCCATCTTAAATTGTTACCATTGCTCATATCACTCAGATGCTTAAATAATTGGGTGAAAATGCCACAACACGGTGACAATACATTAGTATAATTATGTTAGTCAGGAGTAAATTTAAACTAGCCCTTACCATAACACATGGAAGAAAGTTTATCACCCATCGTAACAATAAATTGTTACCATGTGTTAATTATGCCATTATATGTTATGATTCTCATCTTCTCTTTGTCAACAGTTACTTTAAATTATTACCATAAACTATACATCTCTATCATATTGCTGCGACTTTCTTTCCAGCGTACATCGCTAGATGTACATATCCGAATCCTCCCTGCAGCAGCTGAACTTCCTTGTTCGCATTTGAGTGAAATGTCGTGTACTTCATTTTGATAGATTCACGTAGTTGTAGTAGTATTCAAAGTTGACGGCTGTAAGTCATTCATTGCTCGTGGTAGACGATTGATCCGCTTATATAGCAGCTTTCGGGCTAGCCGCCGAGGTGACAAAGAAGCTAACACCACGCAATTAACGCGTCTCGTCGCTGGCTCGGCTACGCGAAATCGCCAGCCAAGTCTCGGCCATAAAAAGTAGTCAACTCGCTGTCTCGCACCCGGCCGCCTGCCCACGATCTCCTCCAGCCCACCCTATCCCCATGCATGCAATTTCGCGCGCGCCCGCTCACGTTTTGCGTGTCGTATTCTCGTTTTTTGCTTTCTAACGTGTGTCTGAGGCAGTTTATGCGACGCGATTTAGACTACTAGTTTGATAGGCTTTTCAGTGTTTGCTAATTTACCGCATTTCAGTTCATCACGCTTGGAGACGATAAAGAGAAATACATCGATAGAACAAGTAATCGTACTTTTCAATAATTGTATTTTTCATAAACGTAACACAACAAACTTAACAGAATAAGAGCACGTTTGAGGTGCGTATGCAGATGCAATGAGCATTCGTAAAAAAATCACAGCCAGCTTTGAGAAGTCGGCGTCGCTATAATGCGTTCAGGATGACGTTGGCGCATCGGGCGACTACTGATGTACGTCCGTCGTGTCTTATAAACTGTACACAAGGCATTTCGCTGAGGGGCGGCTGTGCGGATCCTTGTTCCAGCAGCTGGCAACGAGTGCATCGTAAGAGATCTCCAAAGAATCGGCGGCGACATCACTGCATTGCATCGGTCTGTAGTTGAATCGCACTACCCTGTAGATTACCGAGTGCGGATCCTCTCCCGTGTATGGCTGCTGGCCGCTCTTCATTTGCCATAGCGTCATACCGAATGAATACACGTCGGCCTTCGACGTTATGTAGCTAGTCACTACGTTTCGCCCGGTGTCGCAATCGGGTGTCGCCGGAAGATCGTAAAACGCTACAAATGGTATTGCAGATTACGTTAGTAAACACTGAGCTGTAGTTAGGTTAGCTCTAGTACTATAGCCCTCGTTCAGTAACTGCCGCAGGCCTCCTCCTCTTTCTCCGCCTTCGTCTCCTTATTCTCCTCCTCCTCCTACTCCTCCTCCTCCTCCTCCTCCTCCTCCTTCTCCTCCTCCTCCTCCTCCTGCTCCCCTCCTCCTCCTCTTCCTCCGACTTTGCCTCCTCCTCCTCCTCCTCCTCCTTCTCCTCGTCGCTGCGTGACAACAGCAGGCCATGACAGCAGTGAGTTCTATAAGCACTCACGGCTATACGAACGAACGCGCGCCAGCGAGAATAAGAGCTAGAGATGGAGCGAAAAAGCGAGGGAGAACGAAAGGGTATGATATAGAAAGAGAGATAGAGAGAGAGAGGGGTAGAGAGTGATGAAGAGAGAGGGATAGAGAGAGAAGGAGAGAGAGAGAGAGGGATAGAGAGAGAGAGAGAGAGAGAGAGAGAGAGAGAGAGAGAGAGAGAGAGAGGGCTCATCTGACGTAGTCGATGTAAGCTGTAAGAAATCGCATGATCGTTCCGTCCGTCGTGCCGCCTCGCGCGTCAACAGTTGGCACAAATCTAATCGTCTCGAGTCACAGGTCACAGATATACTTTGCGACGTCGGAGGGGGATCGTGAAAAGGAACTCAGGAATGACAAATTTGGGTCAAGGTCAAAGTTGCGGAAGGAGTGTTGACACCGGAGG